TCTTAAAAATACCCATCCGAGGGGGTTCCCTGTTCCCCCGCCCCGCTCCCTCAGTGGGGAGGTTTCCAGGAATTTGCTGGGGATACATACAGAGATTTAAAGCATCCCGTTCATGTAGCGCAGGGGTCTGCAGAGGGCCAGAGAGTAACTGTTTTATCAGGCCACACAAGTTCCCTTGCCACCATGCGATTCTGCCGTTGTAACACAAAAACAGCCTTAGAAGATATGTAAGTGACAGGGCGAGACTGTTTCCGATAAAACCTTATTTACAAAATCAGGGACTTCCCTGGTGGTCCAGTGGGTAAGACTCCGCGCTCCCAGTACAGGGGACCCAGGTTCGATCCCTGGTCGGGAAACTGGATCCTGCACGCCGCAACTAAGAGCCCACACGCTGCAACTAAAAGATCCCGCACGTGGCAACTAAGACCCGGCGCAGCCAAACAAGTAAATAAAATATTTTTTAAAAACTAAAAAACCAGACTGCCCCAGGTTTGCCCTGGGGGCCAGAGTTGCCAACCCTGTGATAGACAGCAGTTTAGGGGAGTGGCCTGGGTGGGGCACTCTGGCTGGGGCACACCCTGCACAGCTGGGGCACTGGCCTCACCCACCCCGCAGAGATCCTGAGTGGACAGAGGCCTTTGGGGAGCACTGACCAGGGTCGGGGCTGCTGTCATGGAAGCATCCCGGAATGGGGCCCCAAGGCGCTGACCGCTGGAATGAGTCCTCGTGACCCGGGCAGACAGCCTTCGCCCTAAGGGAGGAGGCCCCCAGCCTTATCGTTGGCTGACACCCTCATGTGCTGCTGGACTGATGCGCTTGGAAGAAAACCCCAAGCCAATGCTCCCGAGGTCGTGTGTGGCTGGTGAGGTGCTTCCTGTCTGCGAACTGGAACCTGCAGTTCCTGCACGCGAACCTCCTGCGTGCTGAACTGGGGAGGAGCTGGGGGTGTAGGGTGGCTCTGGGCCCCTCCCTCTCCCTGCCCACAAGCAACTGCTGAGGAGACACCCTCAAAACTGAGTGAAATGGGGCTCCCAACGCTGGCCGCCCCGGCACTCACAGGCCACCAAGAGAGGTGCCCGGGAAGCGGTGGGAACAGGACGTGGGGGGGGCTGCGAATTGGTGCTCTTTCTTCAACACAGGTCCCTGCAACGGATTCCAGTTTACCGCACTCTGGCCTCAGAAAAATAATGGCCCTTTATTTTTCGAAATCTAACCCTATGTGTCCGCTCAGCACGGTCACGGGCAGCTGTGTCTCTCATCATGGCGGGGCGGTTGCCCTTCGCTCTTTACTCCAAGCTGTTCTCTACTGAGATGCTCCTGGCAAGGGCCTGGGGGTCCTTGAGGGCGGGAGGCCCCAGGCTTGAAGGTTAGGATGGAGCTGTGGCTCTTTCCCGAGGCTGGAGCCCTGTGTCTCAGGACCGGGCCCTCTGGGCATCACAGCAAGGCCTTTCCGAGGTCGCCATCTCCCCTAGAGAGTGGACCCGGGACCCACAAGAGACTCATCCCCTTCCCAGTCCAGGGAGAGTCCTTCCGGCTCCCTACCTGTCCCCACCCCGCCTCCCACCCGCGGCCCCAGCCTTGCTGGCCTCCCTCCCCGTGGCCACTCGCTGCTCCTCCGGCGGGGCGAGGGCCGTACCTGTGGTGCCTGAGGCTGTGCTCCTGCCTAGCACCGCGGGGGTCCTCGGTTCACGGGGACCAAGGCCAGACACCCTTCTTGGAACGGGCAGTTCAAGTGCCCAGAGAGGTGGACAGAACGTAAGTTAAAATCTCAGTAAAGGATCCTGTCCATCGTTCCCACCTCATCAAACTACCCGCCTGCCTCTTCCTGCCACAGGGAAACATGCCATCTTTCGGGCTGTGGTCTGTGGGGAGCCTGGACCCCAGGTGCACTGGCATTGCTCCAAAGGTGACCTCAGTAATTCCGGCAAGTACCAGATCTCGGACAGCCCAGGCAGCAAGGAGTACGTGCTGCAGTTAAGAACCGCGGCTCTTCCCCTGACAGGGGTCTGCCCTTCTCTTCCCATCCCCTAGAAGGTCTCCAGTCCCCAGACGAGTAGGAGATATTCCCAGAACCAGGTGTGGCCCCAGCAGGCTCACAGGGACCTCTGCTGATAGGTTACCTGGAGCTTACCTCAAGCTCTGGAGGGAGGATGCCTGGGTTACAATCCCAGGCCCAGCATCTCGGCCTTAGGAAGTCCGTTACTTCTCTAAATCTCTGTTTCTTCCTCTGTAAATTGGGGTGATAATAGTACCTCCTTCATGGGTTTTTTTTTTTTTTTTGCGGTACGCGGGCCTCTCACTGCTGTGGCCTCTCCCGTTGCGGAGCACAGGCTCCGGACGTGCAGGCTCAGCGGTCATGGCTCACGGGCCCAGCCGCTCCATGGCACGTGGGATCCTCCTGGACCGGGGCACAAACCCGCGTCCCCTGCATCGGCAGGTGGACTCCCAACCACTGCGCCACCAGGGAAGCCCCCTTCATGGGGTTTTTATGAGCATTAAAGGTTTACGTAAAGTGCCCAGCCGGTGCCCGACCTGCAGCAGGCCCTCAGTCGCTATTGGGCAGTATCGGTAATATTTATAGCTCCCCATCACAGAACACCTACGATGTGCTGGCCCTGGGCTCATCGTTTGACTTAGATTATATATTTTAATCCTGACCATTCACTGCTTTGGGGGTATTATTAACCTCATTTCATAAGTAAAGAAACTAAGGTCCAGAGAGGTTAGGTAACCTGCCCATAGCACACGCCAGAGACGGCATTTAGTCCTGGATCCGTCGGACTCAGGAAAGCCAGCTCTCTCTGCCACACCACGTGCCTCTGATGGCAGAGTTGGTCCATCCGCCGCTGTCCTGACCCAGGTTTTTGTCTTGGGGTCCGCTTCCCTGATGAACCCTTGGAGCTCGTGAGAACCTGGAGTGTGTCTTGTGCGTCTTTATAGCGTCATCACGTCCAGTGAACGCAGGGAGGGGAAGGCTAGCTCCCCTCCCCTGTTCCCCTGCCCTTGGCCTCTCTGCAGATCACAAGCTGACCAGCCAGGCACAGACCTGCACCGCTGCACAGTAGTGAACACGAACGGGGAGGCCGCGTGCTCGGCAGGCTCACGGTCATGGAAGGCGGGCTTCCCCCCCACCCCCCAGCCCAGCCCTTGATGCTCAGGGCGTGGGAGAGCCCTGAGGGGAATCAGGCCCCGATGCTGGGTGGGGAGACCACGGAGGCCGCAGCCCCGCCGGGTGCAGAGCCCTGGGCTTCTTCCGCTGCACGTGCGCTGCCTCTGCGGGTGCTGGGGAGGCTCACGCGCGCGGGTGCCCCCTGCAGCTGGGCTGGGTGATATTCTCTTGGCCCTGGGGACCGAGGTCAGGCCCTGAAAGTGGGTTTCGAGTCCTGGTCTTCTGCTAACTCACTCAGGGGGCTTTGTTTTCTTCTCTTGGCCTCAGGCTGTTTTGTAGAAATCTGCATGGGGGGGGACAAACAGGTAACACAAAGGCCAAATCCTTCCTCAGACATGCTCTGTTTCGGTTTGCTCAGTGTTTCTGAAACTTTAAATTAATTAACTTTAAACTTTAATTAATCTGTTGGAAAGCAGATCTCGTCTCTGAATTGGTTATGCTTTTGCCCACAAATAACAGAAAACCCTCCTCCAAGCGGCCCAAGAAACAAAGCCACTTCCTTATGTCCACGATGACAAGTCCTGGGTGGCATGCAGGGCTCCAACCACAGCTCGGGGCTGTCGCTGGAGAGCCAGACTCTTCCCGTCCCACGGCTCTGCCACCCTTAGGAGTAGGGTTACCACCCACCCTCGTAGGCTGTCTGCTGCAGACCCAAACTCAACCCCCATTCAGGCAGGAAGAGGGGGAAGAAGTGGCCCTGGGTATATCTGGCCCTTTTATCAAGAAGGCAAAAGCTGGGCTTCCCTGGTGGCGCAGTGGTTGAGAGTCCACCTGCCGATGCAGGGGACATGGGTTCGTGCCCCGGTCCGGGAAGATCCCACGTGCCGTGGAGCAACTAAGCCCGTGTGCCACAACTACTGAGCCTGTGCACCCAGAGCCTGTGATCCACAAGAGAAGCCACCGCAATGAGAAGCCTGCGCACCGCAATGAAGAGTAGCCCCCGCTCGCCGCAACTAGAGAAAGCCCGCACGCAGCAACGAAGACCCAATGCAGCCAAAAATAAAATAAATAAATAAAATAAATAAATAAATAAATAAAATAAAAACAAGAAGACACATTGAATACACCTAACCTACTGAACACCATACATAGGTCAACCCAGCCCTCCTTAAACATGCTCAGAAGACTCGTATCAGCCTAGAGTTGGGCAAAATTATCCAACAGAAAGCCCACTTTGTCATTAAGTGTTGAGTAGCTCCTGTAATTGACTGAATACTGTACCGAGAGCGAAAAGCAGATGGCTGCCTGGTGCGGAATGGTTCTCGGTGTGTCGGGGGTTCACCCTCGTGCTGGCGGGCTGCCCGGGAGCTGGGGCTGCGCTGCCCAGCAGTAGCCTGGAAAGATCAAAAGGCAAAATTCCAGGTACGGTTTCTACTCAATGTGCATCGCCTTCGCGCCATTGTAGAGACAAAAAAAAAATCACGAGCCGAACCCTTGTGGAGCAGGGACCATCTGTTTTTCAGCAAGTAGCCAGTCATTCCAGGGCGTGGCTAAGGTGGGTGTGTGCATCAGTCGCTGGTAGTACTCTGCTTCCTCGTGAATGAACGCCTGGGGGCCCGGCCACACCCGCTCTCTCCCGGCCCCTGCTCGCCCCTGCTCGGGTAGGAGCTCTGCTCCACCTGCCGCAGTGCCGGCTCAGCAATCTCGGGTGTCTCTTGCATAAACTCAGCAGATCATTTACAGCGTGGTAAGAGCCATGGATATTCCTAGAGCATTTCTTTCCCTCCACCACGTGCTCTGGGGCTCCACCCCGCCCCTCTCCGCCCCACCCCTTTATCATCCAGCGGTGTTGGTGTTGTTTGGTTCCCCGGGCCGGTCGTCAGCAAGCAGGATGGGGGCAGGAGGTGCTGTGGACCCACTGAGGCCCTGGAGCCCCCTCTTCCTCTCCTGGCCTCAGGATGGCGAGACGGCCCCCTATGGCTTTGACAACCAGTCCAAGCACTGCCTGCAGCATCTGGGGAAGCACTACCAGCTCCAGACCCGAGACCTGCGGCCGGGGGACGCTACCCTTTACCGGGTCAGGGTGCCGGATGCCGGCGTCTCCCGCACGGAGCTGGAGGCCAGCGGTGAGCGGTCGGCCCTGCCGAAGTCTGAGTGGGGGGCGCCCATTTCGGTTCCCTTGCGGGGGGTAGGTGAACGTGACATGGCCCCCCTCACAGCGGGGGAGAGGAACGGGTACCCAAATGGTTAAATTATGATGATGCCTTTTCAAACTCTTGGTCCGAGGTCTGTGTTCTTCTGGTGCTGGGCTGGGCTCCGCTGAGGGTCTCAGACATGGGGTACCTGGCTCTCGCCTGGCTCACAGGCTGTCCATAGCCTCCACTCACTCTCAGATCAGATCTGCCTAATTCTACGGCCTCCTCTCGGATGTGGGTCCTCCCCTCCCACGACCCCCCAGCGAGAATCTCCACCAGGTCGGCCCGCTCCTGCCCTGTGCAGACCCCTCCCCTCCCTGCCTCCCATGCCCACACCCCACCGGCACTGTCCCTTCCCCCCTCATCAAGCTCTGTCCCTTCCCACTGCCACTCCCCCAACCCCTGCCCCAGCGCCTGACAGCTCAAGGGACGTTGGAGGGAGGAGAGGCTTGGGGCGGGCAGGTAGGTCATAGAGTCGGGCTAAGTCAAGGTGGAAGAAGGAGCGGGTAGACCTCCAGCTGGCCTGGCGTGGTGGACGCGGAAGGGGGCAGGGATCTGGGGGCAGCCAGACCAGGCTGTGAGTTCCATCTGGACCATGTCTTAGCTGGGCAAGCCATATAACTCGTAGAGCCTCAATGTTCTCACCTGTAAGAGGGAAATAATAACACCTGCCCTGGAGGTGGTTGTGAGGATTAATCAGACGGCAGGCGTAAAGCACTGTGCTCAGCCTGTTGGCTTCCTTTCTGTACCTACCTGCCCCCAGATAGAACGGTCCGATTTAGAATTCCAGAGCCCGAGTCTGACTGTTCACAACCTAATTATAACTCCTCACTTTATGTGGGGAAACTGATACCTGGGGCAAGGAGTGGCCCGTCCAAGGTGACAGGGAGCTGCGGCTAAGCTGAGCTCCCAGCGCCCTGCGTCGGGTCACACTGTGTCCTGCTCCCCGGCAGCCGTCCTGCCCCAGGTGGTGGTCCCGCTGGCCTGTGCCCACTGCGGGGAGCAGGGCGATGCGGTCCTCGAGGCCACTCTCTCTGACCCCTGCCCCGGCACCACCTGGCATCGCCGGCACCGGCCGCTCCAGCTGAGTGACAGATACGAGGTGTTCGTGTCCAGTGATGGGCTGACCCACTGGCTTCTGGCAAGAAGGGCCTGTTTCTCAGACGTGGGCCGCTACTCCCTCGGCACCAAGCTCCACGCCTGCGGCGCCTGGCTGGTGGTTGAAGGTGAGTGGGCCACGCCTGGTCTTTCCCCGCCTCTGCCAGGGTGGCGAGACCTCAGGGCCCAGGAGGGCGGGAGGAAAGTGGGGAGGGGCTTCTGTTGCCAGTCCCCTGCTTTGGAGATTCCTCCTCCCCGCAGAGAATGAGGAAGGCCCCCTAGATCTATTCCTGACACCTGCAAGTGCAGGCCCTTCACGGCCAGCCCAGCGCTCCGCAGTGGCATCTGCTCCACTGGGCACAGATCCAGGATGGCCCTAAGGTCCTGGACAGGGCTTGGGACAGTGGCCCAGGTCCACTAAGGATGAGGAGCCCCTGGGTTGGGCCAAAGGACACCCTTAAACTCCCCTAGGGTTCTGGGTTCAAGGTCATCCTAGGAAACTGTAAATCGGACATTTGTGAGGCAGGCAGTAGGGCAAGTAGATGTTTTTATAAACCAGCCACCCGCTCATGGCAAATGGCTTTTGGCTCTGTAGTTTCTCTAAAACTCCTCCTGAACTACCTAGCAAACTGGGGTGGCCTCGGATACAGGACTGGGGGAAGTGATGGTGGGGTTTATCCACCAACGAGCTGCCACATTCTGGCTTCCTCTGGAGACGGTCGGCTTGTTTCCCTGCTGGGGAAACTGAGGGTCAGGCAAAGCCTCTGGGGTCCGAGACGTGGCTCAGCCTGAGTTCACAGGTCTTTTCTCCTGTCTTTCTCTGGGGGCGTGACCTCTCACCAAAGCTGGGAAGGATAAAAGCCTTCTGACCGCGAGCACCGACCACCAGCAGCAGGTACAAGGAGCGCAGAGCCCAGAAGATTCCAGAAGCATCCGTGGCCAGCGGGGGAGACCCAGAGAGCAGGACCCCACAGGGAGCTCCCTCCAGGGGTCCGGGCTGGCTTCTGGGCTCACAGCCGGCCCAGACAGAGGTGGCCTGGGTGGGCGCAGCTACACTTTGATGGGGGGCAAGGAGGCAGCCGACTCAGCCTGGGGCCCTGGACTGGCAAGAAAGGGCTTTCTGGAAGAAGGGGGCAGAGCCAGTCCTCTTGGTGAAAATCAGCTCCATGGAGAGGGACGCAGGGACAGGAGCCTTCCAGGGGGCTCAGGGGAGGGCCTAGAATCAGGGCTGGGCCTCGCAGGGGACCAACCGCGAGGTCGTAGCAGCGACAGCGAGGGGGACAAATGCTCTGGGACGGCAGGAGGCAGGAAGGCTGGGTCCCGGCGTCCTCAGACTGGAGGGCTGGGGTGCAGTGGGGGAGGGAAGGGGCATGTCGAGGATCCCAGGAGTTGGCTGCCCAGGCTCAGTCAGGAACAGCCCTGGGACGCTCAGCTGGGACCTGGGACCAGAGAGCGGGCCCCGCGGGGATCCCAGGCTGGTCATGTGGGGTCTCGGTCAGAAGGGGAGGGGATGGAGATTTTGCAGGGGCAGAGCCCGGATGAGGTGGGGGGAGAGGATGGCCTGAGTGGGGAAAGGGGGAGAGGAGCGGCCGGGGCAGCGCAGGGCAGCGGGACTGACCTGGGGGACACCAGGGGCCGCCGCAGGGTGGGAGCTCCTGGGGCCCTGGAGCCTTCCAGAGGAAGAGGTTCTAGCTCCATGGCAGGCAGGGGCCCTGAGTCCTGGGACTCTCGGAAAGGTAGTGAAGCTGACCGTGGGGACCGGGGGTGCCCCTTGGGGTCAGGGGAGTCTCCAGGACAGACCTCTGAATGCAAGGACTTCCAGGGGCCACCGATATCTGGTGGCGGGAGCATCCCCGTGGGGCCCGGGGGTCCTGAAGCCAAAGCTGGGTCTTCACTGCAGGAGGCAGGTGACGGAGGCCCACGGGGGTCTGGGGATGGGGGAAGGGGCTACACAACCAGCCCTGCAGGCCCAGGGGGTCCCGGGGGCTGGGAAAGGGGCCCACAGGGGCTCAGGGGAAGGGAGGGCCCGGAGACGGCGGGGACCTTCGGCGAGGCAGAGGACGGCTCCAGCAGCCCCCAGGATTCCCGAGCCTGGACAGCCGGGCAGAGGGGAACAGGAGAGGCGGGCAGAAGAGGGTCTGAGGGCCCAGGCCCTTGGGATGACACACGGTCCAGCCCCAGCAAATCCGGGGCCCACTGTGGGCCTGGAGTGCTGGGGTCTGGTGGGGGGCAAGGGGGTGAGGGGGGCACCCAGGTGGCTGGGCTGATGGGTTCTGGTCGGGGAGTGGAGGCCAGAAGCCACAGGCTTAGAGGTCCTTTGGGCCCTGGTGGGACACTGGGAGACACGGATGGGTTCAGAGGTGCAGGGGCCATGGGGTCTGAGCCGGATTTCTGGGATGGGCCACGGAGCTCCAGGGAGAAAGGACCCGGAGGTGAGATGGGCTGCGGGGATGGCACGGGGCGAGGTGGCCTCAGGGCCTCTGCCACAGGGGCAGGACCACAGGGCTCGGGGAGAATAGGGCCTTGGGGTCAGACTGGGGATTACGGGGGCTTCAGAGCCCCGGGGGCTCTGGGGGCTTCTGGAGAAGGAGGCCATGAAGATGGCTCTGGGGCTTCAGGGCCTCTGAGGGCAGCGGGCAAAGTGCGAGATGCGGACGGAGCCAGGGGCCTTGGTGCCGGGGGCTCTGGAGACGGAGCCAGTTCTGGGGGTACTACCCGGGGCCCCCCGGCACGAGCTCCTCGCGCGGGGCCGGCCTCTGAGAGCCGGGGCGCTGATGAGTCTGGTGAAGTGCTGGGCCCTGGGCAGGGATCACGAGCTGCAGGGCCTCTGCCCGCCGGAAGCATGTCAGCCAACGGAGGGGCGTCGCGGGGTCTCGAGCCTGGCGCCATGGAGCCAAGGGGTGCGGCAGGCTTTAGAGGTGGTTCAGGAGGCCTTGGAGCAACGGGGTCAGGGGGTGAGGCTGGTTATAGGGGCGGCTCAGGGGGTTCTGGGGAGATGGGGTCAGGCGCTAAGGCTGCAGACAGGGGTCCAGCGGCTGGGCAGGGGGCGTTGGCACCTCAGGGCTCCAGGGCTGCGCAGCTGGGTGGCGGGAGGATGGGGGCAGGGTTGGGGGGCTCAGCAGGTACAGGCCAGGGTCTGGACAGCAGCCGGATGCCCGGGGAAAGGGGCAGATCCGTGTCAGGGTCCGCCGGTGGGCGTGGAGAAAGCCACGCTTGGGGCCCAGGCTGGGAAGACCAGGGGTCTGGCCAAGACAGCACAGGTGCCAGGGACCGGCCCCCAGGCTCCAGGGCTTCAAGCTCCATGCAGGAGGAAGATGCCACTTTCGGGGGGACCCATGAAGGGCCACAAGCCTCCTGGGGCTGGGAGGGGGCTCCAGGCAGAGAGGAGGCTGGTGGGGGGCAAAGCCCAGGGTTCCCAGATGGCAAAACTTCAGGTCTTGGAAGAAGCAGGGCTAGTGGCCCAGGGGACTCAGGTGTCCCGGGTAAGGGGACTTCTGCTGGGAGGGAGAATGGCTCCGCCCAAAGGCCTGGGGATTCGGGACGCCAGGGAGCCTGGGAGGGCCCAGATGGTCGCTCCGGCAGAAAAGGCTCTGGAGACGGGTCACAGGGGACCCAGGGGCCCGGCTCTCAGCTGGGCACAGGACAGAGGGGAGGAAGGGGCTTCCTGAGGGAGCAGGGGTCCCTGGAGGCTAAGGAGGATACGGCCCGACGTCCAGGGGCCCTAAAGGAGTACGAGGGCCGGGCAGCCAAGGAGTCAGGCAGGTCAGAAAGGAGGCTCGGTCCATTCAGGAGCAGGACTCAGACGTGGTCCAGGGTCGAGGTTGGAGCAGCAAAGAGGTGGGGAGCACATAAGGCCAGAGACCCGGGGGAACCGCCTGGAGCAGAGGACAGGGGATGCCCAGGGAAGGCCCCCAGCCGTCCCGGCAGCAGGAAAGCCGGCAAAGAGGGCGGGTCAGACGTCGGCGGCCAGAGGACGGACGCCACCCGGAGTCCCGGATCCAGACACAAGCCTGGCGCCGGCGGTTTCTCCCAGGAGGCGTGGGGTAAGTGCCTCTCAGCCGCCCTGCTCCAGGCGGTAGCCAAGGGGGGCTCCCTGGACACTGGGGCGCCTGGGCCTTTCCCAGACCCAGGAGTTTGTTGCTATCAGCGACCCCCATTTCCAGGGATCTCTTCCCAGTTCAGGAGGCCACCTCTTCCTCCTTGTGTGGGGGATGCGGGCTGCACGGGGCTTGGAGCCCTCCTGGTACCTGTCCTGACGCCCCGTGTCCAAAGCACTGGACTTGTTGAACTAACTAGCTGTGGGTCCCCCTACGTCGCCCTGTGTGACTTAAGGGCCCCTCATCTCCCTGGCCCCCCAGATCCCCTGCACCAGCCTGGGCTCTGCAGAGAAAACCGGATGGCCTGGCCTCGCTGGCAAGACGTGTGGCCTCCCGGGGTACGGTGGGAGGCTGGGCGGCAGGGGGATCCCTGGGTGCCCGTCCTCCACACTCCCCTGTGTCCCTCCAGGCCCTACAGGCCACTTCTCCCAGGGCCTGGCTGACTTGGAGGTGCAGCGCGGGGAGGCTGCTGTGCTCTCCTGCACCCTCACCAGCGACCTGGGACCCGGAGCCTGGTTTAAGGATGGAGTCAAGGTACCCCCCCCACACCTCCTTACCGGCCGGTTTGCGGGGAGGGATGAGTGAAGCAGAGAGGCGTAGAGAGATTTTTCACTCTTCCTCATACCAACGCGCCGGCTTGGAATAAACCGGATTTTTTAAGTGGGCGTGTCTCCCGCTCACCACTCCCTGTACACGCCCCTGGCCCTCCCTCCACATCCAAACTGCTGTCCTGACCCGGCACCTCTGGAAGTCTGCCTGTCCTTCAAGGCCGGTACGGAGGCCCCTCCTCGGCCCAGCCGACGGGCTCTCGGCTCCCTGAACAGCCCTCGACCCTCTAGCTGTCATCTCAGCGGGGGGTAGTCAAGGGCTCTGGAGCAGGGCCTTGGCGTCCACTGGACCGGGCTGACCCCAGTGCGGCCGCTCACTGCGGCCGTGGCCTCTGGCTTCCGCACCTGTAAAATGGGCTGACAGCAGTGCCCACTTCACAGGTCGTGGACAGTTGATGAGACACTGAAGGGGGTGACTGGCCCAGCCGAGCCCACGATGAGCGTTCAGTTCATTCCCGCAGTTGCCTTAGAAAAGACCCTGGCCCGCGGTGGGAGGGGCTGGACGGGGTGGGTGACGGTCCTCTGTGGCCTCGTTCCCAGCTCAGCGCCCAGGACGGAGTCGCCTTCGAGCAAGACGGGCTGGAGCACAGGCTCCTCATTGCCCGCGCAGAGGGGACCCGGGCTGGGAGGTACAGCTTTGGAGCCGGCGACCAGCAGAGCGAGGCCACGCTGACCATCCTCGGTGAGGCCCGGCCCTGCCCTTTCCTGCCAGGCGGGCTCTTGGCCGGCGACACACACCACTGCTGAACGTCTGGCCGTGTCGCCAGCCTGCAGCCCGTGGCGATCTCACCCTCGGTCGAGGGGATGGTTTAAAAAGCAACCACACGCTCCCCATTCCTGTCAGCACGTCCTCAGAGAGGTCCGGCCCCGTCTGTCCTGCTGCAGATGAAGCCTCTGGGTCCCTCCTGCCCGTTCTCACGAGGCGGGGAGGGGGCTGTGTGTCTGGGCCCTTCCCTCCCTGCCCCCAGGTGCCCGGTGCCCACCGTCTTTGACTCCTTGTGCCCTGTCCTCTCCCCAGAGCCCCCGGTCATCGCTCCCGACATGATGGCGAAGCTGAGGGAGCCGCTGGTGGTCAAGGCGGGGGAGCCAGTGACCATGAAGGTCGCCTTCCAGAGCTGCCTCCCGGTCCAGGCCACCTGGAGCAAGGACGGGGTCAAGGTGGCCGGCGGCGACGGCGGAGGGGCCCAGGTGGCAGTGGGGGACAGCTCCACGCGGCTGTACCTCCCCAGCACCAGCAGGAAGGACTGCGGCCAGTACAGCGTGGCTCTGAGCAGCAAGGGCGGCTCCCTGCGGGCCGAGCTCACCCTGCAAGTCCTAGGTGCCAGCCTGGCCCCAGCCCTGTCCCCGGCCCCGCAGAGCCCTCCCTGGCAGCGGGGCGGGCCCTGGGGGGGTGTCCCTGGTATTAACCCTCACGTGCATGCTATTTAAGACCCAAAGCTACCCCTAGCTGTCCTCGCCCCTCCTCGGACTGGGGGGAGCCGGGCCATGTGTCTCTGCAGCTGACACACCAGGCCCTAGGGGTGTCGCTGAGTCGTGCCAGTGAGGTGGGACTGCCTGTGGGCAGAAGGCCGCGCCCATCTGGGCTCGGGGCTGGTGCATTCTGTGTCACCTTCCGGGGGCGTGCATGTCGGGGGTGGAGACCAGGGACGCCTCGAGGTGATGCCCACCCAGGACCTCCAGCCCCGGGCAGCCTCGTCTGCTGATAGAGGAGCCCAGCGCCCCTCCCCTGCGGCCCCTCTGACCCCCCTTCTCCTCTCGGGGCTCCCCAGACAAGCCTCAGCCCCCACAGGGCCCCCTGGAGGTGCAGGACGGCCACGGGGCTGGCGTCTGCCTCTCCTGGCGGCCCCCGACGGATGACGGGGGCCAGGCCCTGCAGCACTATGTGGTGGAGAGGCGGCAGGCTGGCCTCGGCACTTGGCTGAAGGTGGGCGAGCCCCCTGCGGACAGCACCACCTTCACAGATGCCGAGGCGGAGCAGGGCAAGAAGTACAGCTTCCGCGTGCGGGCCGTGACCGCGGAGGGGCCTGGGGAGGCCCTGGAGTCCGACGAGGTGCTGGTGGCTCCCGAGGGTGAGAGGACAGCCCGGGGCCAGGGAGGGAACGTGCCGGGCTCCCCACTGTGCCCAGAGACCGGGGGCCACCAGCCAACATCCTGGGGGTCTCGAGGCCCTTCGAGAGCTCTGTGAGAGCCTCACCCCAGCTCCTGTGGGGCCTGGCGGCCAGATCAGCAAAGCAGGATGTGCGGGGTCTTCTCCAGGTGTGGCTCTGCGGGACGGGGGCGGACCGGCAGAGCCGCTGTCCCAGGCCCCTGGGATGGACCGGCGTCGTCCTCCATCTGCAGCATCTCCCAGGGCCTCAGGGCTGAGGGCCTCAGGGCTGGCTCTAGCCCCCAGGCCACAGTGCTTCTCTGTTTCCACCACTCTTCCCCCAAACTTCGGGCTGGCTCAGACCCCTGACACCCCAAAGAAGGGATAGCATGTGGCTGGCCCCAGATGCCCGCTCCTCCACAAGGACCCCCCAGGAGCCGGCGCCTCTCCCAGCCCCGGACTGACCAGCACGCTCTCTGCCCCCAGTTCTGCCCGGGCCCCCTCCCCCGCCAGCCATCCTGTCGGCCTCCAGCCAAAGCATCACTCTGTCATGGACGGCACCTCGGGGCCCGGGCAGTGCCCACATCCTGGGCTACCTGATCGAGAAGCGCAAGAAGGGAAGGAACACCTGGGTGGCAGTGAACCAGCAGCCGGTACCTGGTGAGCAGCCTGGCGGTGGTCTGCATCGTCCTGGCCTCCAGAGCCTCCCTGGACCCCCGGCCCGAGATGCTGTAGCAGCATCTAGCCAGATCACTTTAGTATGACGGTCTCGCTGGCGGTGGTTTACCTCCCGGGGCGTTTGGCAACATCCAGCAATTTGGGGGTGTCACACTGAAGGGGGAAGATGGGGGTGGCCTCTCGTGTGAAGGGACTGAGATGCTGCGGCATGTCCTTCGACACCCAGGGCAGTGCCCTCCCCCTGCCACCCCGCCCCTTCCCCAAACAAAGAACGGTCTGGCCCAAAGCCTGGTTTAGCAGAAGTCTCACGCCGCGTTTCTCTCTAACGTGAGCTTTCTCATCCGTATGATGACGGGGAGAAGTGTCCCGGCCCCCTGAGTAGCTTCCAAGAAACTGCTTTCTGAGCCCAGAACAAACTCAGAAAAGCCCAGGCTAGTAGGAGAAAGAGGGGTTCAGAGCTCCAGGCAGTGTGCTGGGTGCCAGGCTGTGCCCCCCGGAGCCTCGGCCTCCCGTCTCTGGAAAGAGGGCCATGGACTGAGGACACCTTCTGTACCTACACTGCTGAGTGGTTCCGTTTTATTGAAATAGGACAGCAGCTCTAAGGCAGAGGGAACCAGAGCCATGAAGGCATTTGCCCGAGACTTCCCAGCACGTTAGCGGCAGAACCAGACAGGGATTCGGACCCTGAGACCCTGAGCACACGCTTCTCCCCTTGGAGAGGACGAGTCAGAGCCGGCTGGGGGCTGGGGGGCAGGGAGGTGTAGGGCCAGGCTGGTCTCGTCCAGGCACTGCCCGGCCCCATCAGGCGGGACTAATGTGGGTGGGCTTCCCACAGAGAAGAAGTGGACGGTACTGGACCTGAGGCAGGGCTGTCAGTACGAGTTCCGGGTCACAGCCGTGGCCCCCTCTGGCCCCGGAGAGCCTGGGCCCCCATCGGATGCCGTCTTTGCTCAGGACCCCATGAGTAAGCGGAGTGCCAACCCGGGAGAGGGTGGTGGCCGTGGCATGAGCAGGCCAGGGCAGTCCCGAAGGAGACATCAGGATGGCTGGGGGATAAAGGTCGAAAGGCCCTGCGGGCGAGGCAAACCTTAGGGGCCCCTGGAGTCTTACGGCCCTACACTGAGACCAGACAGGCCCAGGAGCCAGAAATGGGGATTGGAAGAGCGCTTCCCCAGGTCAGCCCGCTTACTTGGTCCCATCCTGTAAGCATCCCCCAGTGAGGGGACAGCATCCCTACAGGGAGGGGGTGGTCGTAGGGGAGCCTCGCCATCAATTCTCCATCCAGCGAGCATCTGCTCATCGCCACCGGCTGGGGGCTGCCGTTGTGTCAGGAACCAGCTGCATCCTTGGGACACTTCTGGTCTAGAGCAGCATGACCTGTGGTCCACATGTCCACGACAGGCAGCCTAGGACATTTCCAAGCCCTACAGAAGAGAAACCTGCCCTGCTTTGTTTGATCCAAATTTCCCAAATTCAAGCAGAGAATACCTGTTCCACGAAACACCTGTCAAAGCACCCCTCCGCGGCCTACAGCTGCTCTTTGCGCCTCTCCTGAGCTCTTACCCTCATGAGCCCGCTGGTGACAAGCCCTGGGGGAGCAGCGCGTTCCTGGCCCTTGTGGATGTGCCAGGGGTGTCCTTCCGTGTCAGCCGGGGCCTGGGGAAGTGGCCGTGGGGCCTGGAGAGACACAGGGAGTCTGGGGGGCTGGGTGCCTAGGGATTGCCCCCAGGTGGCTCCCCAGGTTTGAAGGCCAGAGCCCTGGACCGCCGTGCAGCCTACAGAGCCCTTTACACACCTCACACCTTTGTTCTGAAACCCTTGTGGGTGGGTGGGCCTGTGCTGTTATCATTCCCATTTTACAGGTAAAGAGCACAAAGTATGGACTAAGTACCCAAGGCAGTCTTGACTAGGAGCTTAATGCTCACAACAAAAAGAGAATTCTAGTCTTCAGGGATGTTGGAACCTAAGGACTCATCGTTGAAAACAGCAGATTGGGGGAATTATGGAAGGACAGTTAGGGGAAGGGGGTTGGCAGGTTGGCACGTGGGTGGAAGGAGTCGGGGGAGGCTTCCCGGAGGAGGCGAGCTGGGATGGGTGGTGCAGACTGAGGAAGAGTCCAGGGTAGAGTAAGGGTTTGGGTTCCGGCGGGTGCTTTAGCAAAGCCTGGAGGCGGACCCCTAAGTGAAAGCAACCCCCAGCCGCCCGTGGGAAACCAGTGAGTGGCCACCGAGGGGCCTCCCTCAGGAGAGGTGATGTCGCTCCTGACACCCCGTGGTGCCTGGCCAGGACCCCCCGGGCCCGTGAGGGATCTCCAGGTCACGGACACGTTGCACGCCAGCATCACCCTGAGCTGGGCCCAACCGGACCCCCAGGACGGGGACGAAGCGCTGGGCTACGTGGTAGAGCTGGGCGACTCAGCCAGCCCGCAGTGGAGTCCGTGCCACGCAGGCACCGTGCCGGGCACTACCTACACGATCAAGGGGCTGCGGCCTCGGGAGGGCTACTTCGTGCGGGTGACAGCCGTGAATGACGGGGGCCGAGGCCCGCCCACTGCCCTGGACACGGTGGTGCAAGCCATGCCCGTCAGTGGTGAGTCCACCTCCCTCCTCCAGCCCAGGCCCTTCCTGGGGAGGGCCTCTGAGCTGCACCCATGCGCTAGCTGAGCCGGGACCCCCACCCCCACCCCAGCTTAGTGAAGTGTCACGTCTTGGGCGCCTAGTAAGAGCAGGGCACTGGGCCAGGCAGGCCCTTTCAGAAACGCATTTTCATTGTAACTCATGAAAATCCTACAAGGTCAATACTATCCCCAATTTACAGATAAGGAAACCGAGGTCAGCAGTCCACGGCCCTGGGCCGTACCACTGGTAGGCAGCAGAGCCCAGGTGCCAGCCAGATGACTGACCCCAAAGCCCAGGCTCACTCCAGAACTCTTTGCTGCCTCCCCAGCGTGGCCTGAGAAGGCCGGCTGCCTCTCAGCTCCCGAGTTCACGTCAGTGCAGAAGATGCCCCCATCCCTGTTACCCGAAGGTGGACTGTCTTCCCCGGGGGCGTTAACTGCTGGAGCAGCTGACCTGTCTTTGGCCCAAGCTGACACTGGGCCATCCCAACAGACCCCAGCTGTCCTTGTGACGATGAGGGAGACACACAAAGAAAATCACCCTGAGTCTTTGGCCGCAACCCAGAGCCTGTCCTGGCTCTGCCCCAAATCCCAGGCTCTGGGGCCACTTCCTGCCTCAGATGGGTAGTTGTTTCATCTGCAAAACACAAGAGCTGGGCTAGTTTCTCACCATCCCCCTCCGTTCCAGCCTGCCCCTAAGGCTGCCCCTGACGGCTTCCCTTTCTCAGCCCCCATCCCTCTCCCCCCTTCCCCAGCCCTGCGGCTCCCGCCAGGATTCCCCCCCGGCCCCCTCTCCAGTTCCTGCAGGGCCCCCTGTCCAATGTCCAGTGGGGGTTTCAGCATCACTGGGCTGGCCTAGCGTCTAGTCCCCCTGCAGCCCTGCCTGGTTGGTGACCAGGGCTGGGGCCCAAATGCAGAGGGAGGTGACAGGCCACCCCGTGTGTTCCAGTCTGTCCCAAGTTCCTCATGGACGCCAGCACGAAGGACTCGCTGACGGTCAGAGCTGGGGACACAGTTCGTGTGCCTGTCCACTTTGAGGTGAGCACATCTAGTGGGCTGCAGCAGGCAGTCTCAGCCCTGTGGGCCTCCTTTCTTCCCGGCTCCTTTCTGGCCCCTAGTCAGGGACCTGCGCTTGTGCTGGAAATCAGGCCGCAAAGAGAAGGGGAGGGGAGGGGAGGGGAGGGTCCTCCTGGCAGGGACAGCCCTCCCCTGGAAGCTGGGTGGCCACTCTGCTCCTGTCCACGACGCCCTCTGGTGGTGGCTTTCGGTACTGCACCTCTAAACCCTCGCCCCGTCCCCTCCCCCCCCCCCACTTCTCCACCTCCTTAGTCTGGGAAGGGTTCCCTGCAGCGGGCTGATGCCTCTTGACTTCAGAATGTCTGTTGTGAGAGTACGTAGCCTGCGTTTGTACGTGTAGTACAGCAGCCAGTGTGGTTAGAAGCACAGGTGGCTGGATTCAAATTCTGACCTCATGGCTCACTAGCTGTTTGACTTTGGACACATAACTTAACCTCTCTGTGTTCCGACGTCCTCATGTCAAGAGAGGGTATTCATAGTAACTTATCTCAAAGGGTTGTTCTGAGGATTCAAGGAATTAATACTTGAAAGGACATAAATAGTGCTGGGCACATGGCAAGTGTCCAGTATTATTACTGTTGTTGTTGTTAAAATCATCATCATCTGCCTGGGAAACTCATAGGTGGTGGAGTCAGACCCAAACCCGGACCTAACTCTAAATTACATGTTCTTAACTATTAGACCATAATCATGACGATGGTAATGATGACAAAAGTATTTAAGACACACCAGGTGTTTGCTCTGTGTTGGGCCCGTTCGTATCGTTAGCTTCTTGGGTCCCCAGACAAGCCTGTGAGGTAGGTCACTGTTAGCATCCCCAGGTGCCTCTGACGCCCAGAGCTGAGGGTCTCATGGGAGTTGGTGGTGCAGCCATCAGGCAGCTGGACTGGTCCCCCACCCTGGTCAGGGTCAGGCCACCATACTCTCCCTCCTGGACTATTGCAGGGACCCCCCAGTCATACCCCCCCTTGGCACCCCAGCCTGGGCACCAGGGTGGTCAGCACTCCCCTCCCACGAGTCCTCCCCACTTCCGCCCGCCCTCGCTCCCCCAGCCCTGTGAAGCCAGATCTAATTCCTGGTTAAACCTTACAACAGCGGTTCGTGGCTCACAGAATGAGACGCAGGTGTCTGTATGGGTGTGATGTGCGGGGCCCTTAACGTGTTTGCAAACCCCCCTCTGCAGCCTCCTCCCCTTTCCCCCCACCCCTGCTCCCCCCGTGGCTGTACCCAGATGCTCCTCTCAGGATGCTCTTCTCACACTTACACTTCAGCCCAGCTCAAAGCCATCGCTTCCACGAAACTCCCCTCTCACCTCTCCTTCCTCTGCGTCCCAGGCCGCCTCCATGCCGGACGTGACCTGGCTAAAGGATGGCTTGCCCTTGCCTAAAAGAAGTGTGACCTCCGTCAAGGATGGCCTCACCCAGCTCCTGGTCCCCGCGGCCAGCCTCGCTGACAGCGGCCTCTACACTGTGGTGCTGAGGGGTCCGCGGGGGGAGGAGGCCACCTATAGCTTCCGCCTCAGGGTGGCAGGTGAGGCAGGCCCGGGCTGCGGCTGGACACGGCTGGGCCGCTCCCCAGGGCCTGGTCACAGGTCTGCGGGATTCCACCCGCCTGGGTGTGCCCGTGACCACACCCTGACCCTTCTTATGCGCCCCAAGGGAGAAAGGAGGAGGGGCCGGGGAGAGGGGTATCACTGTCCTTCTCCCCGGGCGGGGGGGGGGGGGCGGTTGGGGACAGTTAAGCACAGCCCTCCCCGGACCTCTGTTGTCCCTCATTTCGGGTCAGTGAGCGGAGACAGTCACCACCATCACATCACTCCAAAGAGCGGTGGCAAGAATTGTCTGTGGTCCTCCCCTGGGATAAAGATGGTCTCCCCCAGCCCCAGCCCCGGAGGGGTTTCTGAAACACAGAAATGATGGGCAACTAACAGCGAGAGCTCTGTAACTTGGTCTTATGGAAACCCCCATTCTGCTCCTGTGTCATTTTACTTACAAGACAAAGTGAATTAAAATGAGTCTTTTTGGAGGTTTCCCACCCTCTAGCAGTAACTGCAGAACTGGCCCAGTTCTCTCTGGCTCCAGCCCCCTGCCTGGCGAGACCGTGTCTCCAGGGCCCTGGAAGAAGTGGGGACCACGGGCAGGTCCTGGGGACCTGGAAAGACTCAGGGCCCTGGGCAGGGCCAGGCGGGCACTTCCGGCTCCAGCCTGACCCCTCTGTCCCCGCAGCGCGCCCACGGGCCCCGGGGCCCATCCTCCTGCGGGAGGGCACGCTGGGCTCAGTGATCGTCGAGTGGGTGCCGTCCCCGGACGAGGCCGACGGGAGGGCCGCCCCGCTGCACTACACGGTGCTGACGCGCTCCTCCCCGCACGCGCCCTGGCGCCCCGCGGCCGAGCGCCTGCACACCTGCCGCTTCACCCTGGTGGGCGTCCTCCCGGGCCACGAGTACCACTTCCGCGTGGTGGCCAAGAACGAGCTGGGCGCCAGCGAGCCCTCGGACACGCGCCAGCCCTGGGTCGTCCCGCGGCAGCCGCCAGGTGAGCTCCGCGCGGACAGCGGCGGGGACCGGAGGCTGGGAGGGCGGGGACAGCCGCCGGTCCATCGCTCTTCCCACCTCCCGCGCCGCCCACCGGTACCCGGGTCCTCCGTGTCTGCGATTCAGGGTGGGTCCCGCTTCTTCCGCGGGGAGAACGCGAGGAGCGGAGCTGTCTGCGGGTCTTGGGTGGCCTCTCGAGTCAGTGGCAGGCGAAAAGGTAGACAGAGACCAGTGGTTCTCCGAAAACAGAGTCTTTTACAGTCAAATAGACGCGAACCTTCAAAGCAGTTGCCAGAAAAAGCAGACCGTGAAATCAGATGCTCGTTCTCTCACTTTCACGAGTTTCTAAAGTAGAAAAATGTCTGAAAGGTTCCACACCAAAATGCTAGCTGCGGTCATCGGTAGGTAATTGGCTGTGCTCGGTTTTTATTCCTTCTCCTTTTGATTTCTTGTATGTTCCAATTTGTCCACACTGAGCATGTGTTAGCTTGTAGTACAGAAAAAAGAAGTCCAAAAATTATCTTAAGAAAAGGATAAAAAATGAGTAGAGCAGCCTTGGGGCCAAGTTTGCAGGTGAGACAAGGCAGGAAGGTCCAGGCAGTGCCCGAGTTCACCAGGGGCTTGGGACTCGCTGCAGCCCTTCTCTCTTTCTGACCCTCCTCGCCTGCCAGTTTCCACCGCAGACAGGGTCACGGCGAAGGCTCCCAGCTACCAGGAGCCCGACCTGAGACAGAAGCCCCGCTTCCTGGTGGGCCTGCGGACCCACCTGCTGCCCCTGGGTTCTGAGTGCTGCATGACCTGCGCCGTGCGGGGCTGGCCGCGGCCCCGCGTCACCTGGTTCAAGAACGACCAGAGCCTGGCAGGCGACCCCGCCGTGTACAGCACCGACCTGCTGGGCGTGTGCTCCCTGGTCATCCCCAGCGTCTCGGCCGAGGACGGTGGCAAGTACAAGGCGGTGGCCGAGAACACACTGGGCCAGGCCATCAGCACCGCCACCCTCATCGTCATGGGTGAGACGCTACCCGACAGGGGGGCGAGCTGGCCGGGTGGGGGCGGGGCGAGGAGAACCAGAGATGCAGCTCCCGTCTGCCTTCAGGGAGTCCTCAAGGGGCCCGCCCCCTTCTAGAGGGGTGGGCTGGAGTCAGGACAGCGCGGTTCTCCGCCTGGCTCTCCATGAGCTCTGTTATTTAACCTCCACCTTCGGCCCTCCTGGGGCCTTGGTTTGCCCATCGCAGTGGATGAGATCACTGGTGAGCAGCTCTTGGCTTGAGGGGCTCCGTGCCACCCACCTAAGCTTCCCACAATGGCCTCGCGACCCATTTTGAATGAGAGAGAAAGAGGCTTCTTCTCAGTTGCACCTTCATAAATATGCCCAGAGAGGGACACCTAGTGCCCCAAGGCCACCCTGGTTCTCTCATGGGTATTCCCCAGTAAAGTAAATAATGTGTGTTAATAAGAAAACTAGCCTTTTTTTTTTATATTGCTAGAGTACATTTCTTTTATGTTTTTAATTTTTATTTTATATTGGAATATAGTTGATTTACAATATTGTGTTAGTCCCCAATAGTATCTTATATTTTGAATAGTTAAAAAAAAAAAGTAACTCCTAAACATTTTTAATTAATCGGGATTGACCTTTGTTCAGCAATGGCCCTTTCAACCCGGGAAAGGAATGTTGCGAAGTGCCCAGCTCGTGTGCACACCTATCGTTTGGGGGAGGTTACGGTTCCCCACGGGGCCAGGGAAGAACTTTGCCCAAAGTTGGGGAGCACGTGGTGGCTGTGGATCTGAACCCACACGCCCGTGGCAGAGCCCCGAGGCCTGACCCCCTGCGGTGTCACGTTGACCTTCAGGACGACAAGCCGGGATCCTGGTCCTCTGTGTCTTGCAGAATCTAGCTCTGAGCCCCAACACACCCTGGAGTGCCCCAGCCCGTCCCCACAGCCTTGGAATGAAGGCAGATCCTCGAAGGTTCACTCCTCACACCGCACTGGCCTGGGGAGGCAGTCCCAGAGGATGCAGGATGCTGGCCGTGCCCAGAGCCCCAGGGAGAGGGGAGTGAGTGGGCTCCTGGGGAAGCTCCTCCCGGAGGGCATGGAGGCTTTGGGGAAGACAAAGAAGAAGCGAGCATTCAGCCTCCCAGCCCCAAGCTGAGTCACTGAACAGGATGGCAGCGAGCCTCCTGCCTGGGGGAGCAGAGGGAACTGGATGTGTCTGCAGGATGGAGGCCAGATCCCTTGGGGGGAGGTCAGGACGGGCTGTGCCTGAGTGACCACAGTGAGGGGAGAGCACGGGGGCCCGAGGACCTGGGCGGGAGCCAGGTGTGTGTGTGTGTGCTGGGACAGCTGCTCTCTGTATGTTGTTTCTTTATTAAAGCATTGGCTAACACTGGCAAACCATTTGCAAGTGAATTTGGGGTCTGCACGCTGGGGGGAAGATTCCCAGTGCAGAGCCTCTGTGCCAGGCTCCAGCCAGGGGTGGGCTTCTGGCTGGAGGGAAGAGCTGGGTCAGAACCGGGCTCTTCTGCATCCTGGGGCTGTGCAGTCAGTTCCAAGGGTGGGAAAGCTGGGAATGTTCTGAGGGTCTGCGTGGTGGAGAGACAGCCCCTCACCCCCCACTCCCGCCCCGCCCCACCCCGCCTGAGCCCGTGTCTCCTGCATGCCTCTGTCTGGCCAAATCCTGCTCAAAGCCAGAGGCTTCCCTGGGTGGAGTCTGGGCTGGGAAGTAACACTGCTGCGCAGGCTCTGTGGGCCCCAGCTTGCCCCTCCACAGTCCCACTGCCCCGTGTCACCGATGGGCCCCGTGTCACAGACAGGACGGGATGCTGTGTGACCCACCACCTCCACCAGAAGCTCTGGTTCTCCTTCACCTTCCAGGCCTGGCCCCTCAGCCTCCTAGGCTCCCGGGAAGTAATATGTATCAAAAGCTTTAACATGTATAACTCTCTTGATGACGCAGTAATTTCATGTCACTGCACGTATTGTTATGAGGGCAAAATAGGGACTTTTTCCGAAAAACAGAAACGGAGTTTACCACCAATAAACTCTGCATAATTTCCACTTTATACCTCAGACAGAAGAAAAATGATTTCTAGAGATAAGTTCTGAGATGCAAGAAAAGATGGTCAGCAAAGATATTTGAAAATATTTGGGTAAACAAAAAAATGCTGGCTGCAAATAATAGTAATAATATCTACTAGGATAGACTAAAACATTGGACAAACATTAGGTGCAGTTTAGGAGAAGAGTGATCAGAGGTGAAATATGCTAGAATATTATTATTCTTAAACTTTTGCACCCATTAACAATAACTGGAGTTAAGCCTAAACGAATAGGTTCTGAGTGTATAGCTTCCAAACAAAGTATGGAATGAGAAAAATAACGGCAATCAGTCAAAAAGAGGGCAAGTAAGGAGGAGGGGAAAAAGAGGAGGGGGAGGAGGGGGGCAAAGGAGGGGGGAGGGGAGAGGAGGGGAGGGGAGAGGAGGGAGGGGAGGGGGAGGGGAGAGGAGGGGGAGGGGAGAGGAGGGGGGAAGAGAAACAGAACTCCTGGGACAAATACAAATAAATAGAAAATATATCAGTAATCACAATAAATGCGAGTTAGATTCTCCAGTTAAAAAAATCACCAGACTAGATTTTAAAGAACTAGCTGTATCCTGTTTGCTAAGACACACTTAAACACAGGACCCAGAAAGGTGGAAAGGAAGAATGAAAAGGATATTTCAAGTAAATACTAGCCAAAAAGTAAAACAAAAACAAACCCCCCGATATAACTACATTATATGTAGCACATAAATAATATTAAAGCGAATGCCATTACTAGACATAAACGGAGTCACTGCAAAAGGTTAAAATGTTTACATCACCAGGAAAGTATAACAATTCTGAACTGGCGTGGACCTAAAAATAGAGCCCCCAAATATAGATAAAAATATAGCCACAAAACATCTAAAGCAGAAATGGACAGATATACAAGAATAATTAACAAAATGTATCTTTAAACAATTAATGATTCAAACAAATAAAAAAAATGGAAAAGAGGAAAACATTTAGAACTGAATGATAAATAAAATGAAAAAATGAAAACTACACACAAAACCCGTAGGATCCAGTGAAAAGCAAATGCAGAAGAAAATTTATAGCTTATACACTCACTCTGAAAAAGAAAAAAAAAGCTCTAAACCAATAAGAGAAGGATCTGTGAGAGACAGTTTCCCAGCCTCCCAGCTAGGTAGGTCATGAGACTGAGTTATGGCCCAGGGAACAAGGGCCAAGTGGTGGGAACTACTTCCCGGGCTGCCCCCTTAGGACTGGCTGTGCAGGCATCCCTTCTCTCCCTTCCTTCAATGCCCAGCTTGATGCCACGCATTCTTGTAGGACCCTGTAGCTCTAGAGGTCGGTGGAGCCACTGACCAAAGGACCCCTCACTCCTGAATTCTTCCAGGGAGAACAAGTCCTCCAGACCAGCCCGCCTTGGGCTGTGATATGAAAATTAACCTGAACCATATTAAGCTACTGACATCTAGAGGTTGTCATGGCATTTAGCAAATAACTTTTTAATAAATGAAGTAACTTTTAAAGAATAAAGCAAATAACTTCTTTAAAATGAAACAAAGTAGAATAACTTTAAAGAACTTAGAAGACAACAATGAAAGGCAGAAATTATAGTAGTGTGTAAATTATTACACATTTGTAGAAAGGGTCATATAATTCTAAGGTTGTCTTTTTGAAACGGCTAATAATACTGAAAAACTTCTGTTATGATTAATCAAGGGAAAAAAAGAAATGGCAAAAATAAACATTAAGAATGAAAAACAGGACACATTACAGATTCGGCAGAGACAAAAGGTACTATTAAATACTTGATGTTAAGACATTTGAACATTTCAACGGAATGTGTGAATTCCTAGAAAAAAAAAATCATTTACCGAAACAGACTCAAGAAGAGACAGAAAACCCGAATAGTCCTATATCATTGAAGACATTCAGTTGGTCGCTAAGCATTTTCCCACAAAGAAAACAGCCCAAAGTCTGGTAGGTGAAAAGTCCTTGCAAATGCATCAGGAACATTTATAATATTTTTTTTTTTTTTTTTTTTTTGCGGTACGCGGGCCTCTCACCGCCGTGGCCTCTCCTGCTGTGGAGCACAGGCTCCCGAGGCGCAGACTCAGCGGCCATGGCTCACGGGCGCAGTCGCTCCGCGGCACGTGGGATCTTCCCGGACCGGGGCACGAACCCGTGTCCCCTGCATCGGCAGGCGGACTCTCAACCACCGCGCCACCAGGGAAGCCCAACATTTATAATCTTAACCAACTTCCCCAGAGACTCGAAAAAGAAGGGGGACTCTCCACCTTATTAAATAAGATTAGTGTAACCTGATGATAGAACCACAGGGACAGTACAAAGGTGGAAAATTATAGACCAGTCTAACTTATTAACGTAGACGCAGAATCGTTAACAAATGTTGGAGAGCTGAATCCAGCAGGAGGGGAATGTTCGTACGTCACAACCAAGGTAGGTTTGTGCCAGAGCTGCAATATTGGGGTCATATTAGGAAAATGATTCATGTAATTCGCCACATAGATAAAATAAAGGAGAAAACCACACAATCATTTCAATAGATGTACATGAAGGATTTAATAAAATTCAACATCCAATGAGAAGTTTGAGAGTGTTACAAACAGACTCCGGAGCCAGGCTGCCTGGTCTTGAAAGCTTAAGGAGCTCTGTAGCCTCCAGGAGCTTCCTTAATCTCGCTGGGTTTCGGTTTCCTTATTTATAGAGATGAAGATAATAATAATAATAATAATAGTACTTTCCTCATAGGTGTGTTGTGAGGATTAAAATAATGTATGTATGAAAAGCATTTAGAACAATCCTTGCACGTGTTAATACATTTGTTATTACATTAGTGATTTTAAAAAAACAAAAACAAAACTCTTACAAACTAGGAAAAGAAGTAGACATCCATAAAGGCCATTTACAAAGACCTGCAGCAAACATCGTAATTGATGTTGAAATGTTGAAATCATTCTCTTTAAAATCAGAAGCAAGACAAAATGCCTACAGTCATCATGTATAGCTAATAGTGTACTGGGGCTCCTCGCCAGTGCAAGAAAAACAAGTAACTGTGTAGGAATTGGAAAGAAAGAAACAAAGCTAGCATTACTTGCAGATGATAGGATTGTCTATACAAAATGCAGAATAATCTACAAAATATACAAATTAATAAAAGAATTCAACAAGTGTTCTGGATAAAATAACCGAATACATTTGTATTTCCGTAAACAGCTCGACTCAACTGGAAAATGTAACTTTAAAAAGATATCATTTAGAATAGCAACAAGTAAAATACCTAGGAATAGAGCTAATAAAAGATGGATAATGGAGAAATTATAAAACCTTATTAAAGAAAAAAAAATTTTAAACCATAGGATTTTTTTTTAATAAATTTATTTTATTTTTTATTTATTTATTTTTGGCTGCGTTGGGTCTTTGTTGCTGCGTGCGGGCTTTCTCTAGCTGCGGCGAGCGGGGGCCGCTGTTCGTTGCGGTGCGCAGGCTTCTCATTGCGGTGGCTTCTCTTGTTGCGGAGCACGGTCTCTAGGCGCCTGGGCTTCAGTAGTTGCAGCACGTGGGCTCAGTAGTTGTGGCTCGCGGGCTCTAGAGCACAGCCTCAGTTGTTGTGGTTTAGTTGCTCTGCTGCATGTGGGATCTTCCCGGACCAGGGCTCGAACCCCTGTCGCCTGCACTGGCAGGCGGATTCTTAACCGCTGGACCACCAGGAAGTCCCTTGAAAGAAATTTTAAATGGCATAAGTAAATGGACAGACTGCATCCCTGGATAGGAAGATAATACTACAAAGATATCAGTTTGCTCCAAATTCATCTATAGATTCAATACATTTTCCAAAAAAATTCCAACAGGGCTTTTCACATAAATTGACAAAGTGACTCTAAAATGTATGTGGGTGAACAAAGAGTCCAAAAAAATGTCAGGGAATTCCTGAAGAAGAATAAAAAAGAGAGGAGGAAATTTGCCCTATCAGATATCAAGGCTCAGTATCACTACAGTATTGATAACTAAAACAGCGTACTTTGGATGCATCAGGAAACACACGCAGGACCAGGAAGAATAAACCCAGGCCTATTTGGAAACTTGACTTATGACACAGTGGGCACCATAAACCAACAGGAGGGGATGAACTATTTCATAAGTTGTTCTGGGACAATTGGTTATGCAAGTGGAATTGAATTCCTACCTTATTCTATACATGAAAATGAATTCCAGGTGTATTAAAAATTTATATAGAAGTGGCAAAGCTATAAATCTTAGAACATGCTAGAATAGGAAAATATCTGTATTACTTTGAGGTAGGGAAGGATTTCCTAAGATGTCAAAAGCAAAGCCATAAAAGAAAAGATTCATTTGACTGTATTAAAATTCAACATGTTTTACCAAAAGTCAATAAAGAACGTGACAGTATAAGCCACAGAATGGGCGAGAGATCTGCTGCCTGATCAGGTCAGTTACTGTCCGTGATTCGTGCCTCTAAAGACCCCTTCAAATCAATGAGAAAATAAACATCTCAAGAGAAAAATGAGGAAAAGATGCAAACAGACCTTTCCAAGAACAGGTAATACAAATATTGGCTCAGAAATATATGGACAAATGTTCAGCCTCATTTGTAACCCTAACCTCTAAACCCCAATTTGTAATATTTAAACCATAATTGTATAATGGGTCACTTTATCAGACTAGTGAAAATTAACAGTCCGCCCAAATTCTGGTGAGACTGTGGACTCTCGCCAACGGCTAATAGGGGTGTGAATGGGAGAAAGCCATTACCTGAGCAGGTGGAGTGTGGGAATTACATCAGTGAGGGTTCTCTGGAGAAACAGAACCAATAGGTTACATGTGGATGAATAGAAAGAGATTTACTCTGAGGGGCTGTGGAGACCGGTCAATCCCACAGTCTGCAGTCTGCAGGCTGGAGGCCCAGGGAAGCCAGAGGTACTTCCAGTACAGACCTGAGGCCCAGGAACTGGGACCCGGGGAGTCAACAGTGTCCATCCTGGTGTGATCCGAAGGCCCAAGAAGCAGGGTCATCCCTCTCTAAGGGCAGAAGATGGAGGTCCCAACTCAAGCAAACTCGCCCTGCCTCCGCCTCTCCGTTCCATTCAGACCCTCAGGGGGTTAGGTGACGCCCAACCTCCCTGATGAGGACCACCTTTACAGATTCCAGTGCTAACCTCTTCTGGAAACAACCTCACAGACACACCCAGAAGCCATGTTTCACCAGCCATCTGGGCCTCCCTTATCCCAGCCAAGTTGACACAGAAAACTGACCATCCCAGGAATGATACGCTTTGACCCAGCAATTCCACGCCTAGGCTATAGTCTAGACAAGAAACTTTTGTACGTGTGCCTTGGGGGAAAGATTTCATAGCAGCATCGTGACTGTTACAATAGCCACAAACTGGAAACAATGCAATATGCACCAGCAGTAGAATGGATAGAAAAAGAAATAAAGTTTCAAAAATGAGTAACAACTGCTTTAGTCATTAACGTGGAGGTATCTCAAAAAGAGTTTGATCGAAAGAAGCAAATGACATAAGCTACACACAGTGTGTGTCCATCCATTTACCTCCGGGTCAACACCAGGCAGTCAGCATGCTGCCCTGTAAGGATGGACACACACAGCGGCACAGCCGTAAAGAGGCTCAGGCGGTTAATTAACACGGGTGTCAGCTAGCAGTTACTCCTGGAGGCAGAGCTGGCGAGAGGAGAAAGAAAAAATTGCAGCTCAGCTAAGGCGAGGCCTCAGGGAAACCGCGGTGATCTATTTCTTAACTTGGGTAGGTAACATGGAGTTTATGTTTTATCATTCTTTAAACCAGAAAAAAAAAATACTTTTTTGTACACTCTGGTATGTACATTTAACAAAATAAGTAAAAGTAATAAACTGTTGCACAAAGCATTTGAATAGAATTCCTCTCTCTCGGACACACACACCCCCCTCTCATTTCTCCCCTCCCCTCCCCCGACTCACCTTTACTGATCTTTATATGTAAAACATTGTACTCGAAAGAGTGCTGTTGAATGCGTTAATTTAGGTCACAAACATTGCAGATTTATTCAACTGAGTTGATGTTTTCTGTTCCCAATTTTAAGGTGGGTGAGATGTCTCCCGTGTCTACCTCTTAAGCCACATTATATTGCCTTTTACTTGTACATAATTTCCAAAGCACAGGAAAGGCCTTCTCACGTCTGCACTGAGTCATAAAAGATAAGATAGGATCGTTGGGGACAGTCTACTGTGGTGAGAGAGGAAATGAAAGAGAGGACAAGACAACGGTAACTTACACCGGGCGGGCACAGGTCCTAGCAGCCCAGGTGCGCTGGTCTCCGCCCTGCCCTCCAGCGCCCCTCCGCGCCAGGCCACGCCCACGCCTCCCTCTCTTTCCCCTCATTGGCTGTGAAAACACGGCCGCAGCCAACCAATGGCAACGACCAAGGGTGTCGTCATGTGACTGGAGACACCCCACCTTTCGTGAGTCCTCGGAACCCCCTGCCGAGAATGGTGGGGGGGGGGGGGCGGGGCTGGAAGATGGGACCCGTAGGGGCTCAGAATGAGTGCGGGGCAGCGTGAGCTGTGGCCGCCAGAGACCCCGCTTGGAAGGGTTCTCACTTGGCTTAAGGCTTTGCCCTTGCCATCCTGAAATTCATAATTTTTAAACAAGGGGCTTCCCGTTTGCATTTTGCACGGGACCCGCAAGTATGTCACCGGTCCTGGGGGAGGGTAGTCAGAATTACTCTGGGGGCTTAGCAGTAATATTACCACTGATAATAATGTGATGGATGGCTGTTGTAATGATATATAGCCAGGAGGGCAGCAGCGATGGGGACTTTCTCACATAGGAAAGTGACCCTCTTACTTGTCGGGTTAGAGGGCCGTGGCCTGGGCATCCTGGAGCAGGAGCTGACCCAGCTTTGGGTGGCACTGGCCGGAGAAGCCATGGGGCTGACCAAGCGGGTACTGGCCGTGGTCTCTGCAGAGAGTCTGGTGCAGCTGCTCTGGGCCAGGGAGGGGCCGTAGGGCCAGCGTGTGGTGCTGCGGGAGAGGTCAGGCGGCCTGGAGAGGGGCCCCTGAGGCTGCTCTGCCCACGGCTGGACTGGGCCCAGGCATCAGGCTCCCACCTAGAGTGTCCTGTCGGGTCCCTGGCCACCAGCCTCTGGGAGATGCTCCAGCCCCTGGGGACAGTGGGAGGCACAGAAGGCCGGCTGGAGCGAGTACTGGGCGTCATGGTCCAGCGAACCTCAGAGGCAGAGGGGCCCTGGCCACAGGGGCAGCTCTCCCAGGCCCTGCAGCTGCAGTGACAGGAGCCAGGGAGCTGGGGTGGGGGACGAAAGTGTGGCAGATACCTGGTGAAAACAAACTGCACTGACTTGAAGGCTGCCCCTGCCCGCTGGGGGACCTCAGGCACCTCACCTAACCATCCCGGGTCTTGGACTTTCCTCAAATGGCCAATACTGCGGTCCTGCCTACCTCCGGGGTCATGAGTGTGAATGCACTTTGAACGCTGCTAACCCGAGGTCAGGTCATTACCAGCTCCCACGGGCCCCCTTCACTCCTGCTGTTGGCAGCTGAGGGCAGCAGGCCCCGGAAGCAGCGGGGCTCACAGGACAGAGGAGGACAGGGGTCTGGCTCACCTACTCCCCTGTGGAGGCAGGCAGGGAGGGAGGGTGTCACTGTCACTCGCCTGCAGCCTGAGGCCCAGCCCCTGTTTGTGGGAGCCAGGAACCTGAGGCCCGGCCTCCAGCCCACGGAGATTGTCCGGGTGTGACGTCCTCTGGGGTCAGACAAGGCCCAGAGAGGGAAAGCACGTTGCCCAGAGCCTCACAGCGAGTTAGGGTAGAGCTGGGCTTAAATTCTAACTCCCAGTTTAATGTTCTTTCCACTCTCCCCCCAGGGAGGACCTGTCCTGGGACTGAGGCTGCAGACTCCTGGGGCTCCGCACCCCGAGAAGCTCTGGGTGTCCCGCAGGTGCTGTCCTGTCCCAGCACCATCGTTTACCAGTTGTGTGTCCTTGAGAAAGTCACTCAGTATCCCTCAGCCCAGTCCTTCGTTGGTGCCATGGAGGTGATCACAGACCCTCCCCCAGACCCCCAATCCGTGCTCGCACCCAGAGGGAGGCCAGCTTGCCAAAACCAGTGAGGAATGGCTGGAGCAGGTGGGAGAGGCAGGCAGTGGAGTCCAGCAGTGTGGGGGCCAGGAGCCCCGCCCAACCCAGAGTGCATGGGTGGGGTGGGTGGGGCACTGGGGAAGCCCTGGCCCCCTCCTGAGTCCTGGGGCCCAGTGGCCTGCCATCCCAGACCTGACCACCAGGTGGTGCCCCAGGCTTTGCAGCCGGGCCGGACACGTGGCTGTGAGAACTCGTCCTTCAGAAAAGGGGGCTGCGTGGGGGCAGGGGAGGGGGATGGAGGGCGGCACCAGCCACCACCAGCAGGTTCTCCCTCCCCTTCGGATCTCCCCTGGGCCCTTCTGGGAGAAGTCCGTGCTGGACCAGGAGCCCTGTCCCTGGCCTGGCGGACGGGGTGTCTCCTTCCCCAGCCACCTCCCCTCCCCGCGCCCTCCTCCCCCTCCCCCACCCCCCCCCATGGTCCTCAGCCTGGGGTCTTCTGGTGTCAGGGCTGGGGTCCTGGGTATCACTTAGAGGGGCTTCAGAGGGGAGGTCGGGAGGCAGGTCCTTGGGGGTCTTGGTGACCCGCATGGCCTGTGGCTGGGGACAGTGGGCAGGGCCAGCGAGACCCAGCCCAACGCCACCTTCTCTCTCGTGCTGCCGTCTGGGCCTGCTTACGTGTCCTAGGCACGTTCCCTCCAGGACACGGGAGGACAGGCCCACACGCAGACCCCCTCTTTCCTCCTGGGCCCAGAGCCTGGTGTCTCCCTGAGGGAGTAGCCAGTGGAGCCCCCCAGGGCCTGGCTCAGATGGCCCGGACAGGGCTGCAGACTGGCCCATCAAGAACAGGGCATGGCCACGGCCAAGGGCGAGTGGACAGGGCGGCGGCCAGGCCCAGCCGGAGGCTCAGACGAGACACCCTCCCTGGGCTGTGGGAGCCCTTTCCATCCAGCCAGGCCCACCTCGGCCAGGGAGGCGGGCAGGCAGGAGGTGGGGAGACAGGGCGCGGCCTCAGCTCCTGGCAGCTCTGCTGTGCTCCCTCCCGACACACGGTGTCCTGGGTGAGGTGCCTGTGATGTGGCCAGCGTGCGGGCACAGGCCCTGGGAGGGTGGCCCTGGCAGGGACAGGTGCTTCTCTGCACATCGCTGGCCGGAAGCCGTGGGGAGGGTGCCTTCCAACAGAGCGACCTTCTCGTCCACCTTGGGCTTCAGCCTGCCAACTCCAGCCTCCCCTGGGGGGTGTCCTCCCCTGCCCCGCACAGCCCCAGACCTACAGCCAGTGTGGAGCCCTGCCAGCCTGCACCCCACCTCTGGCCATCCTCTGGGGGGCTCTCCTTTCTGTGTGGACCCCCCAGCCTGTCCCTCCGCCCCTCACCCTCTCCTCCAGGCTGTGGGCCCATGGACAACCGGCCAGCTCAGGGCCGGCCGTGGAAGGGATGCGTGAGTGTCTGCTGGACGGGAGCCCACCCTGCCCCTCCCCCTGGAGCTGTGTCCCTGCTCAGACGGCGGCTGGGAGTAGTTCTGCAGTCCACAGGGCAGTGGACTCGGGGAGCTGAGTGCCACCATCACCCGCTGTCCTGCCGCAGCTCTGCAGCAGTCCCAGCCAGGACAGCCCAGTCCATCCCAGAGCTGGGATAAACGTGTGTGCCTGCGCTGGGCAGAGCGGGAGCTGGCAGAACTGGCGGCGGCAGGGCTGCCGCGGGGGGAGCAGCAGGCCGGGAGGACAGGCTCCTGAGCTTGCTGGGGAGGGAGACCCCGTTCTGCTGAGCTTACCGTTTTCAAACTCCTTCCTGAGAAGTTGGTTTGGTTTTGTTTTTAATGATTAGGGAGTTGGTCCGTGTTGGCACGTCCTTGCAGCATCACAGGCACTGTCAAGTTCCCATCAGCCCCTGGGGCGGGGCCCTGCCTGGGCCCCTCTGTTCCTTCGCCGGTGGGACAGTGCTGGCCTGCCCCCTGCAGTGGGAGAAGCCGGCTGGTTCCTGTTACCAGAGGGCAGGGGCCAGTCGGGCCATATTACGGAGAGACGAGGGAGGGCGGGAAGTGGGTTTGGCCCAGGGAGGTGGGCTGAGGAGGTCTCACCTGTTCCAGGTAAGAGAGGTGTGCCTTTGTCGTTTGCTGAATGCTGCAGCTAGCGGACCCACCCGTCCCCCAGGCCTGGCCTCGCCCAGGGAGCTGCCGCCCCGCCCCGCCCCGCCCCAGGAGCCTCCTCTTCCAGAGCCAGGCGAGGCTGCTCGGGCGCACGCGCAAGCCTTTCCCCGCCCCCAGGCCTGAGGAGGCTCATGGGGTGGGGCTGGCGTGGCAGCCGCAGCTAGAGCCCGGCGGAGGCAGCACTCAGCCCCCGCCTGCGTCAGGGGAGCTGCCGGTGCTTGCTCCCAGCTTCCCAAGCAAGGAGTCGTGGCTCCCAGCCAGCCTCCCCACGCCGCCGGGCAGCTCACACCCTGTCGTCTGGGTGCTCCCCAGCCCTCCTCCGTGAGGGCCCGGCAGGGGTGGGCCCGGGCACCGGAGGAGGGAGGCCAGGCAGTGGGCTGCAGGGAGATGTCTCTGCAGGCGGACAAACGCTCCTGTAACACGGGACGATTCTGCCCGCCTTGCCGCCAGGCCCTCCCCGCAGCTGGGGCTGAGGACCAAAAGGGGCCAGGAGTGTGCTCGCCTGGACTGCCCGGCGTGCAGGTCCTGGGGAGGCCTCTGAGCTGGAGCGTGGCCTGGGCGGGACAGATTCTGGTCATCGTGTGCGCGCAGATCGGCACGTCTGGCCCTGGCTTCTGGGCAGAGAATCGTGGCTCCCGGGCCCCTGCTCCGACAAGGGGCCCCACCCACCTCCCCGTGCTGTCCTGTCTCCCTGGGTTGTCTTTGTCAGAAGGCACAGAGCTGTCTGCGGGCCCCAGTCCATCCCTTCCCTCCATCTGGGTCTGTCCCCCTCGAGGACTTTGAGCCGTTGACGTGTGTTTTACATACAGTCAAATGCACAGACCTCAGTCGTGACGAGCTTTGATAAATGCCCACAAATTAAGATACAGCGCGTCCCAGCTCCCTGGGTAGTAACGTGCCGGCAGGGCCCGTGTCCCTCGGCACACCTGGTGCCAGGTGCCAGTTTGTGTGTTCCAAGCCTTTGCTCGACTGACTTGACCTCCTGGATGCAGGGCCTCTCCCTCTCTCCCTAGTGGAAGGGCCCCTGGGTGCCCTGGTTGTGTCCGGACCCCCCTGGGCTTGGTGACGTCACTGAGCTCACAGGGTCCAGGCTGAATCCACTTGCTGGGGCTCTGAGCTCTCCCCTTGTCCCGGCGTGGTGCCCACCCAGGGCCCCCGGGACCCAGGAAGGTGGGAGCTGGGGACTGATGCTCTGCCCCTCGGGTGTTGACAGCCGAGCCCTGAGTTTGATCGCTGCCCGGGAGGCCAGTACCCCTACCCCCTGCCTCGGGAGGGGCAGTTGGGCTCAGCCCCTGGTGTTAGTAGCCACCTGCCCCAGGCCTTGACCTGGCCCACCTGTCTGCATCTCGTCCTGTGTGATGGGGCCTGTGTTTTCCAGTCTAACACATGAGAGGTTATAGAGAAAAGACTTCAACGTTTTGGGGCACCAAAAATTTCTTTTCAAATAACAGCATTTGAAGCCCTAATACCTGAAGCAGATAAAAGTGGAGCCGCTCAGACAGAGTGGGCATGGTGGGCCAGACCCCACCCTCCAGGAACAGCCCCCCTCCTTCCCCAGCTCCAGGGGCCCCAGGGAGATCCCTGGGCTCCGTGACTCACACTTCGAGGACCTGGTGCTGGGCCTGCTCCAGAGAGAGGAGCATGGCTCAAGTCATCCTGAGACACCCCCTTACTGTGAGGGGCGCAGGGCCGTCCTCTAGCCAGAGAGACAGGAGGAAGTGACTGGCCACCGAGTCAGCACTTCTGTGTGTCCTGGGTCCTGATCCCGCAACCTCACGTATTTCTCAGGACCGTCTCACGAGGGGTGTCCCTGCCCGTTTTACAGAGGAAGAGGGGCTCTGTCAGGACACACAGCTGCCCTCCGGGACCCGGGTCAAAGTAAGGAGCGGGCAGGGTGGGAGGGTGCCCCTCAATGGGCACCTCTCCTGAGCTGGGAGTTCCGGTCACCCGACAGCCACCTGCAGACGTGCCAGGCATGAGGTGGGGAGCATGTCCTGTCACCACGAGGCACGACTGTGCCCTCCCATCCTCAGGATAGCAGGGGCGGGCGATTAGCCTCTGTGGGACCTCCTGTGCCAGGCTGGCCCGAGGGTGGCCGCGGACATCGTGAGGGCAGGCGGGAAGCGCAGGGCCGGGTTCCTGAGCCCAGCCGCCCACCGGGCAGCACGAGGCAGAGGCGAGGGGCTCTCAGGCCTCCCCGGGGAAGGCTGCTCCCCTTTGGGGTGGGAGCTGGGAGGGCAGGGGCCAGTCCGGGCCACACCCTTCCTGGGCCCGTCACTAATGCGTGTGGGGTGAAGTGGTGGAGGGAGGATTTGGGGCCGCCTGTGTCCCCAGAGTTCCCCGGGGCCTGAGGTCCAGGGGGCCTTTTCTCTGTCCATTTCTGTCCCTCCCTTGCCCCAGGTAGGGGCCCTGCTGGGAGCAGAGCTGGCAGGAAGTCAAATGCACAGACCTCAGTCATGAAGAGCTTTGATAAATGTCCACAAATCAAGATAGTCCAGCTGGGGCTGGACTCCTCACCTTTCAGCCTAGAGCTGCCCTGGGAGTGGGGAGCTGGGGGTGGGGAGAGGAGTGCCTGCACAGAGCCTGGCGAGGGTGGAGGAGGGCGGGGAGGAGGGAGGAGGGAGGAGGGAGGGGAGGAGGGAGGGAGGAGGGAAGAGGGAGGGGGGGAGGGGGGGGGGGGGGGGGAGGGGGGAGGGGAGGAGGGAGGAGGGATGGGAGGCACATTTTACTGTTTCCTGGGCCCACACCTCACTCTTCTCACCAAATACTCTCAGTGTCTGTATCTTGAAAATCTGTTAATACCACACCTGGCTGTAGAGCACAGGTGTCAACATGGCGTAGGAGAAAAGGAATGTCAAAATATCACGATAATTTTTATACTGGTTACATGTTGAAATGATAATATTTTGGATATATTGTGTTAAATAAAATGTGTTATTAAATTTAATTTCACCTGTTTCTCTTTACTTCTTTTTTTAAAATTTATTTATTTTTGGCTGCGCTGGGCCTTCGTTGCTGCACGCGGGCTTTCTCTAGTTGCAGTGAGTGGGGGCTACTCTTCATTGCGGTGCGTGGGCTTCTCACTGCGGTGGCTTCTCTTGTTGCGGAGCACGGGCTGTAGGTGCGCGGGCTTCTGTAGTTGTGGCACACGGGCTCAGTAGTTGTGGCTCTTGGGCTCCAGAGTGCAGGCTCAGTAGTTGTGGCGCACGGGCTTAGTTGCTCCGCGGCATGTGGGATCTTCGCAGACCAGGGCTCGAACCCGTGTTCCCCGCATTGGCAGGCGGATTCTCAACGACTGCGCCACCAGGGAAGTCCCTCTTTTTACTTCTTTAAATGCAATTGCTGGAAGATTTAAATTGCGCGTGTGGATCTCATTACGTTTGTTGGACAGCCGTGATCGCAAGGCGTCTCTCGGTGCCCGGCGCACTCTGGAGGCCCAGGGCCATCCAGCCTGCAGCCTGCCCTGCCCTCTTCCGGGGCCTGTGGTGGGGTCGACCGTTGTACTAGGCTGTCGGCACTGCTGAAGAGATGGCCCAGGGAAGGCACCTGCCTGCCCAAGGCACCAGCTGAGCCCCAACCAGGAAGCCAGCGGACATGACCTGGAGGTCAGGACTAGCAGGAAGGGCCTCGGCTGTGTGCAGGTGCTGTTTGCACCATTTAATCCTCGTGACAGACATACAGGTGGATAATACTATCTCCGTCTTATGTCTGAGGGGCTCGGAGAGGTTAGTGAGCTCAGCCTGGGTCACAAGGCTGCTGAGTGGCAGAGCCATGATTCAGATAAAATTTATGGGACTTCAAAGCCTGTACTCTTAACCCCCAGCTTGTCCCATGGGCTGGTGTCTGAGTCCTGGAGGGTGGAGTGCAGATCGGGAACTCCATCCGTGAGGAGGGGTGGGCGGAGCTTCTGAGGCCCACGTGAGGGTGTAGGTAGGGCTGATGTTCTCGGAAGGTGTCCTGGGTCCCTCTGCGGGTCTGGGCCTTGACGGCGGGAAGGCTGACCGGCTTCACCAAGGCCGCCCAGCGGCACGTCTCAGGGCTGGACTCGGGGCCAGACTCTTGTGCGGTGGCCATTCTGCTATCCAGGCGGTGACCACTTTCCACTGGGCTGGTGAAGCCCAGATACAGCCAGGCACCTGGTCCAAAACAGAGCCCTGGGGCTGCGGGTCCCAAGGCCCCAGGCTCTGAGGAGGATAAGGAAGCCGGAGACCATGGTACTGCCACTCACTGTGTAATTAATGAGTTTGTGGGGGCAAAGGAGCCATTTCTGACCTCTGCGAGCGTGGCCCAGCCGAGAGCTGCGTGTCCCCGCCCAGCAGGGCAGGCGGCCGTGGGCACCACTGGGACCGTGCTGCTCTGTGGCTTCAGCATTCCTGCTCTCGGGGCCTGCGGGTCTCCACAGGGCCTGACCCACCACTGCCGTCTGCTGTGGGAGCCAGGCTCTGCGTGGCGTGGGGTGGCCCAGACCATCACCCCCTCCCTGTGAGGCCTCGCTCGCCCGCTCCAGGCCCAGGGCGTCCCTGCTGTGCTCACAGGTCCGTCCTCAGAGCCTTCGTGAGGGAACTTCCTGCCTCAGCCTGGAACAAACGCCCTCAGAGTCCTGCGCAACTCCTGCGCGGGACTCCCGCTCGGAGCGCGGCGGGCGGCTTCCTAGACGCACCGGCTCCCGTGGTTGGCTGTGCCGTGCTCTGCCCTTGCTGTGTCTCTCTGGCCTCAGTTTCCTCACCCATAAAATGGGGTGACACCACCCACCCCACGGACCTGGGAAGGTTAAATCTGTCTTAACCTAGGAGGGTTAAATCCATTTTGCCAGGTTGAACGCCTGGCAAAACAGATGCTCTCCAAACCTGCCTGTCTTCAAGGTCCAAGTCAACCCGTCTCCCCCAAGAAGCCTCTCCTGTGTCCGATCATCCTGTCATCAGAGGCGGGCTGAGCCCAGGAAGAGGGCCATGCCCAGCACAGAGCCCCCTCTGCTCCAGGACTGATTTCAGCTACACTCACTTATTCTTTTTTAATTAAATTAAATTAATTAATTAATTATACAGCAGGTTCTTATTAGTTATCTATTTTATACATA